CTGCACTCCTCTCCCTGCCGGTCCAGCGATGCCCTGCCTCCTGCGTCCCCAAGTCCGTCAGTGTCCCTGTGCCCACAGGTGTCAGTGAATGGGAAGCGGCTAGACCTCACCTACAGCTTCCTGGGCAGTCGGGGCATTGGGCAGTGCTACGACAACTCGCCGTGCGAGGGCCAGCCCTGCCAGAACGGCGCCACGTGCTTTCCTGCTGGCGAGTATGAGTTTCAGTGCCTGTGTCGGGATGGCTTCAAAGGTGCGTGGGCCTGCCCGGGGCCCAGAGGGGGCAGGGGCGGGGCACAGGGTGGTCGGCAGCCACTCCAGCCTGCGCCCACTCACCTCCGCCACGGCCCGCAGGGGACCTCTGCGAGCACGAGGAGAACCCCTGCCAGCTCCCTGAGCCCTGTCTGCATGGGGGCACCTGCCAGGGCACCCGCTGCCTCTGTCCCCCCGGCTTCTCTGGCCCACGTTGCCAACAAGGTAACTGCCCTGGCTTCTCTCCACCTCCCTTTTGGGGCCCTGGGGCTGGGCAGAGTACCCACAGCTGTCTGTGACCACTGACTGGACCCTGCCTTTCTCCATAGGCTCTGGACACGGGGTAGCAGAGTCCGATTGGCATCTTGAAGGCAGCGGGGGCAACGGTGCGTATTCGCTGTGGCCAGCCAGAGCAGCTGAGCAGCCTTGTCGCCCCCTGGTGGCGGGTCTCTGAGCCCCCTTGTCCAGTTACCCCACACCCTTAATGCTGGCCTCTGAGCGGAACAGGTCCATGTGAGAGGCTCACTGGGCACATGTAGACAGGATAAAGAAGAGCAAAGCCACGTGGAGCTGGGCCCTACCATGTACTCACTGGCTAGGTGACCTTGGCCAGGCCCATATACCACTCTGACCTGTTCTTCCTCTGTATCTGTGCATTCTGTCAGCATCCGTCTGTCGTGCGCCCCTCCTTGTCCCTGGAGCAATGACTGTCAGAGGACTAAGGCAGGACCCTCACTCTCAAGGATTCCACAGTCCATTTAAAAGCACTGAGAATAATTAAAAAATGAACGTTCATTGAACACCCACAGGCACTGTGCCAGCTGCTTTATGGACATTATCTTCTTCTTGATCATGAATGTAATAGGAGAGCCGGTGGCGTAGGGGATGAGAACATGGCCTCTGAAGCCAGCCTGCCCAGCTTCAAATCCTAGCCCTGCCACTTGGTAGCTGTGTGACTTTGAGCAAGTCACTTAACCTCTCTGTGCCTCAGTTTCTTTATGCATACAATGGGGAGAAGTAACATCCTGCCACAAGGCTTCGGATAAAATTTTGTGTGATGGTGAAATTACTTAATGTATTTAAAATGCTTAGAACAATTTCTGGTCCAGAGTGGGTATATTATGTTAGTTTTTGTTGATATTATATGCAAGTTATAGGATTACTGTGAGGCTCCAGTTAAATGAGATGATATTTGTGGGCAGATGTGAGACTCCTTGCACATGCTTGGGACATCATCTGGTGGAAGGCAGCAAAGTATCCTTGACCCTCAGAGCTGCCGGGCCCACTGGGGCCAGCGCTGGCCTCTGGGACGGGTCTGAGCGGGCAGGGCGGGAGTGTTGGGGCCGCACCCAGTGTGGACACTGGAGGCTAAAGGTCCAGGTTGCCATCCAGGCCCCCCACTTCCTGAGCAAGCCCCTCACTGCCCCCCGCCCCCAGACGATCATCCCATCTGGGAGATGGAAGGAACACAAAGGTTCTGAACCTTTCAGGTGTCGTGGACGTTGGTGACCAACTGTCCCAGTGTCCTCAGGGCTGGGGGTGTTTGGGGATGTGGGCCTTTCAAGGCTAAAACCAGGACAAGGACTTAGCAAATAGGGATGGTTGCTCCCCTTCCCCAGACCTACTGGCTGCTTTTTAAACATGCATAGGAAACCAATTACACTGAAGTAAGACCCAAAATATTTTACATTTTCTCAGCTGTAACCTATGTACTTCTTTATCAACACATTAAGTAAGATGCAGTGCTGGCCCTAACCACTGACTCGAGGTCAATAAGTGTAAACAGCGTTTTGAGCGACTCGCCCCTACTGTGATTTGTAAAGGAAACCTTTCAGTGGGGAGGTCGCACGTGCTGCTGCTGCTCCTTTAGCGCGCTGCCTACGTGCGTAGTTAAAGGAGCTGCTAGATTTCAGCGAGATGTGAGTGAGCAGAGTTGTAGTGTTTTCCTGTCCAAGTTCACAGGCGTCTGGATTCTGTCCACAGCCCCCCGGGTCTCCGGGGGCTGCAGGTTCAGAGCCCTCTGGTCATGCGTGTCAGGGTGGAAGTGGGGTGGGGGAAGCTGACACCAGATGGATACCTGGAGCAGGTGAGCAGCTGTCTCATACCCCCCTTTCCTCCCACAGATGCCCCGGGACAGTACGGAGTCTATTTCCACGATGACGGCTTCCTAGCCCTCCCCGGCCACGTCTTCTCCAGGAGGTGAGACGGGTGTTGGGAAGGCTGGTGGGCCCGGGGAGGGGACAGGTTGCAGGGAGAATGGGAACCTGGGACTTCTGCCCGCTCACCTGCTGCCCGCTCCACACTCCCAGCCTGCCGGGGGTGCCTGAGACCATCCAGCTGGAAGTTCGGACCCGCACGGCCAGCGGCCTCCTGCTCTGGCAGGGCATGGTGAGTGTGGGCGTCCGGCCGGGGATCCTAGTGTTCCCAGCCCTCTGGTGGCCGGGGCAGTGGGAGAGAGAAAGGCAGAGGCCACAGCCATCAGGGGCCGTAGCTCTCCAGGCTGGGGACCCCAGAGAGCCTGTGCTCCCTTGCAGGAGATGGGAAGGGCCGGCCAAGGGAAGGACTTCATCAGTCTCGGACTTCAGGAAGGGCACCTTGTCTTCAGGTGGGTCCCCTCCCTTCTCTGGCCCCCGTCACCCCCTCCGTGGCTTCCTCTCCGGTCAGCCCCATGGCTCCTTCCACAAGAAGCTGCAGCTCCCAGTGTCCCCGTGACGCACCACCACCACCCCCCCCGACCCCGCTCCCGTCCTGCCCCACCTCACTCACACCTGCCTGGGCCCGTGTGACTGCAGCTACCAGCTGGGCAGCGGGGAGGCCCGCCTCGTCTCTGAGGATCCCATCAATGATGGCGAGTGGCATCGGGTGACGGCGCTGCGGTAAGGGAGCCCAGCTGGGCATTAGGGTGCGGGCCCCCACTGTGCTCGGGGAGGCAGGCATTGGGCTCTGGGGAGACGGCTCGCAGCCTGTGTCAGGGAGAGCCAAGCACGGGCTTCCAGGGCAGGGCAGAACTCCATGGCCATGGGCTGGCGGGCGGGCGGGCAAGCTCCCTGGGGGTGGACGAAGCCTGGGAGGGTGCTAGGAAGCTGTGTGTGTGGCGGGTGCTTGGGCGGTGGGGAACGATCTCTCTCAACCCGTGGGGAAGGAAGGAACTCAGGGAGCAAGTATTTCTGTAGTCTTGTGGAAAATGGAGGGGACTCTCCTTGGGTCAGGGACCGGTGGTGTAGGGCCTGACCCAGTTCCACCCACCACAGAGAGGGCCGGAGAGGCTCCATCCAGGTGGACGGTGAGGAGCTGGTCAGCGGCCAGTCCCCAGGCCCCAACGTGGCAGTCAACACCAAGGCCAGCATCTACATCGGTGAGTCCTGGGCTCAGGCCTTGGTGCAGCAGTGGGGCCCCTGCAGACCTCCAGCACGTGTCTTCCTCTCCTCCGGGGCCCCTGGAGCTGACGGGTCCTGTCCTCTCCCCTCCCCACAGGCGGAGCCCCCCACGTGGCCACGCTGACCAGGGGCAGGTTCTCCTCGGGCATCACGGGCTGTCTCAGGAACCTGGTGCTGCACTCCGCCCAGCCCGGTGGCCCTCCCCCGCAGCCACTGGACCTGCAGCACGGCGCCCAGGCGGGGGCCAACACGCGCCCCTGCCCCTCGTAGGCAGCCGCCGGCCCCACAAGGACTGCTGGGCGGCGTCCCAGCCCCACAACGTCGAGTCTATTATTAATATTATTATTATGACTATTTTGTAAGAAACTGAGGCGATGCCACGCTTTGCTGCTACTGCCCTGGGCTGGACTGGAGGGTGGGCACATCACCCCCCACACAAACACCTGGGCAAAGCCACAGGCTGGGGAACAGGGCAGGTGGATGGGAGCAGGTGCCTCAGAGGGGCAGGCAAGGTGGCTGAGTGGGCTCAGAAGCGCCCCCACCAGGAGAGCCCCCGTGGCAACACTGGGCCGCCCGTTCCTGCGGCCCCGGGCAGCCCTGGGCAGCCCTTGTCCCTACAAGAGCCAGCCTCAGCGTACAGCCTGGGTCCTCACCAGCCACTAGGAGCAGAGGGCGTCGCAGTGGGCTTTGCCACCCTCCTCTGGGTAGCAAAAACTCTTTAGTGCCAACTGTGGAGCAAAAGGCAGCTCACCCCTGGACAGGCAGCCCCACCCCCATTAGCCCATGTCCCTGCCCCCCTCCACCTTCACCTCCGCCTGGCCAGCTGGTCTGCACCCCTACCCCAACACCTAGCCCAGGGCACCAGCCCTCAGGGGCTACAAGGGAAAGTCCATCCCAGCTCTTACCAGGAGCTGCTACAGGCAGAGCCCAGCACTGAGAGGGTCTCCCTGCCCGCCCAGGCCACATCCCCCTACTGACCTGGAAGTGAAGACCCAAGGGGTATGTGGGGAGGAGGCGTTGGTGGGTGGAAAGAACTAGTGCCTTGGGTGGGGGGAGCTAAGAGCCCCTCATAATGGAGACAGGAAGGGGCCATGACAGCCCTGCCCCATCATTGGGAACCTGAGGACCCAGATGGGGGCAAGCGCCCTCCTCGCCAGCAGTCCCCCAGACGTGGGGTTGGGACACCTGACCTCTGTGTCCCACAAGGGACCCTCCCGTGGTCTTTGTCTTGATCTTTTCTTAATAAACGGTGCTATCCCCGCCAGGGCGGTCCCCTGTGTCTTTGCCTAGGGCTTGACTCTGGAGCCTTGGGGGGGGGCAGCGAGGCAAAGCAGGGCAGGCAAGGTCTGGGGGGTGAATCAAGGCAGTTTTGGGTGAGCAGGACCCCTGCTCCTCACTCTGGGCATGGAGGTCCTGGCCTTCGCTGATCCGGCAGAGTCCTAGCCACCGCAGGAGCTACAGGGCCACTTGCCCACCCCCCACCCCCCCGTGGCCTTCCCCATAGCCCTGCGAGGCAGAAGTCATCCCATTTTCCAGAGAAGCAGACTGAGTCTCGGAGGGTTATGTGACCTGCCCAGGACCAGACAGCATGCTAGGGGATGGGGACAGAACCCAGAGCCCACTCTCCTTCCTCTGAAGTGGCAGCCTGTCTACGGATGGCCTCCCTGACCCTGGAAGGCTGGCCTACTCGGCTGCAGCCCCCCTGGGGCCACCTGGCCGGGGCATGTGCAACAAGCGGGGTAGCTAAGGCAGAGGCCATGGCCACCAGGACACCAGGCCAGCCAGCGGGCAAGGCAGCAGCACCAGAGGAGGCCAGTGAGGAGGCCAACAGAGGCTAGGAGCAGCGAGGAGGTTAGCGCCACCTTCTGCAGCCAGGGACCTGCAGAAGGAAAGGGAGAGTCCACTCAGGCCTCAGCGCGGGCCTGCTGCCCCATCCCCATCACCTGCAGAGGGGGCAGTGATCTTCGTGGGAGGCATGGGCGCGGGGGATAAGGAGAATCGTCTACCTTCCAGAGCTGCATCCTGTTGCACAGGGCCCCAGCCTGCTGGGGGGCTGCTCCCGGCCGCAAGCCCAAGGGGGCCTGCCGACCTGAGAGCTAGGGGGGCAGTTGGGGGCTTAGAGGTGTCGTCCGTACTCCCCTCCTGGCTGGGCGTCTGAGAGGGACCTGCAGTGGAAACAGCAGAGCTAACACCGAGAACAGCCCCTTGAAGACATGACTGTTTCATTGAAACCTCCCCAAACCTCTCGGAGCTTGTTACAATTTGTTTCCATTTCATAGATCAGGCAAATGAGGTTAAGTCACTTGCCCAGGTCCCACAGCTGGAAGTGATGGGGGAGGACTTGAACTCATGAAGCCTAGCTCCAGGGCCCGGGGTTGATGGATGGAGCTTCTTCTCAGGAAGGAGAATGTGTTCATGTGTTTCCTCTGCTGGGCCCTGTACCCACCCTATTTCACTTAAAGCTCATAGCAACTCTGAGAAGTTAGGTTCAGTGCCCCCATTTTAGAGATAAGGAAGCTGAGGCGCAGAGAGGTCCGTCCTTCCACTCACGTGACTCATATTTCTCCGGTATCTACTGTGCCCCAGGCATTGCTGTAGGGACCGGGGGGTTCGACTGGGAGCGGAATAGACAGAAAGGTCTTCGTGGGACTGGAGACGTGGAAGTGTGAGAAGCATGAAAAGTATCATGTCACATAGAAAATCGAGCAGGGAAAAGGGACAGGGCCTGCTGACAGGGGGCAGGGTTTCTTCTTATTTTATTGTTGGGAAATAGACCGCAACCAACCAGTGCCCACGTTCAAGCGCACAGCTCAGCACAGCACAGCTCAGCATTAAGCACACTCACGTTGCTGTGCGACCGTCTCCAGAACCCTTCACCTCGCAAAGCTGAAACCCTGTCCCCATTGGACACTCGCTCTGCATCCTCTCTGCCCCCAGCCCCTGGCAACCGCCATTCTACTTCCCGCCTCTATGAATCCCATGACTCCAGGTCGTCAGGTTCATGTACGTGGACTCATTCAGCACTGACCCTTTTCCGGCTAGCTTATGTCCCTTACAGAGTGGCTTCAAGGCTTCATCCATGTTGTAGCACGTGTCCAAATTCTCTGCCTTTTTAAGGCTGAATAAAATTGCATTGTGTGGCCATATCATATTTTTGTTTATCCATTTACCCAGACCTGGACACAGGGTTGTTTTATGTATGTATAAAGGGGTCAGGAGAGAGCTCACTAAGAGTGAGAGTTAAGCAGAGACCCCTAGGAGGCAAAGGAATGAGCGTGAAAATCTCTGGGGAGGCACCTTCCAGGCAGGGGAGAGAGCTGGCCGTGAGGCCAGAGGAGCCGGGGGACCGAGAAGGCAGGTGGGAGGTGCCAGCAGCGGCAGCAGGTCGCAAGGGCCTGTGGGCCCCCGGGGGGCTTTGCTTTGTCTTGGAGTGAAGAGCATGGAGTGTTCTGAGCGCCGGGGTGACCTGATCTGACTTAGTGTCTTAGGTGGCTCCTCTGGCCAGGGAGCTTAACTCCCCACTGCTTACGTGGGGGCCGCACCGAGTGACTGCCTCCCGGAGAGCACAGGATGGAGAGGAGGCAGAGAGAAACAGAGGAGAACGCTGACAAATGTGGCCTCAGCTGGGTGGTCAGAGCCAACAGTGACAGCCACGAGTCAGGCTGGGGGTATGTACCTGCGATGTGATGTGGTGCAAATGACACTTGTCCTCCATCGTCTTTCTCCTAATGAGCCCTAACTGCAGTCTGACCACGAGAAAAACATCCAACAAATGGATGTCAATGGCTCGGTTATGAGCTACAAAAAGGAACGAAGGGTCACTCCACAGTTTGGGTGAGAAGGGGAAGCCGGTGAGGAGCTGGACACGGAGGGCTGCGGATCGGGAGTTCAGTTTGGGGCCAAGTTAAGTCTGAGATGCCGCCTACACATCCACATGGAGATGAGCAGGGAGGTGGTTATGTAACGGAGTTCAAAGACGACTCCAGCTGGCGATGCGATGCGTCATAAAGGAGACCCCTGGGGGAACGGGTGTGGAGGGTGGAGGAGGAGCGGGTGTCGGGACCAGCCTCAGAGCACAAAGCGCAGAGCGAGACAGGGAGATAAGCAGGAACCTGCAAAGGGGACTGAGGAGTGGCCTGGGAGGTAAGCGCGTGGGGTCCTGGGAGGCTGGGTTTCACCCCTTAGCCCGGTGCTGTTTTTCAGTAAACAACCTGTTCAACAGTACGCGCAAGCTCTGTTGGGGGGAAGGGGCATCTCCAGATTCCCAAGAAGGATGTTCCTGGGTGACCTGGTCTCTCTGCACTCAGAGGTCGTTCCTGATTACGTCACTCACTGACTCTATGACCTTGAGCCTCAGTTTCCCCATCTGTAAAATATGTGAGTCAGACTGGATCAGTGGTTTTCAAAGTAAGTCTTAAATAGTCCAAGTCAGGTTCCTGGGTGGGATGTGGGGCCCCCCACGTCCACTTAAATAGAGCATCTCTCTTTTCAATACTTTGGGCCTCTGTGCAAGGTTCCACTTAGGAGGAGCTTCCGCCACTAAAATACCATTTGAAAGCACCTGGATCAGATCACCCCTAGCGTCACCCTGGCTCTAACTGCCCCGCTCCTCGGGTCCTCTGGCCTAACGCAGTTCCCACTACTGTGCTTCCCCTGGCTCTCTCCCACCATGCCCCTGCCTCCGCTCCTCCCCCTCCCCAACTCAGACCCTGGGGAAGGGCAGCTGGGGCCCACCTTCCTTCCCAGCTTCTCAGCAGGACCCAGGCTGCACCCGTCACTGACCTGTGCAGTTGGCTGGTGGCCAGGAAGCCTGGTCACTGCCGTTGCCACAGTTGTCCATGCCCCAGAGATCACACACCAGGCTCAGGGGGATGCACCTGCCATTCTGACAGCGGAAGTAGGGACCACAGAAACCTGGGACCAAAAGGGGAAGCATGTTATGAGGGCCTCAGGCCAGCCTGTAACAAGTAGGAGGTGCGGCTCTATAGTGAGGGGATGTGGGAGGTGTGGGCAGGAGAGCAGGAAAGAGCATTTCATGGGACACAGGTGCATAACCACGATGACAATGTTGATGGTGATGGGAGACAGGTGCGTAGCCACGATGATGCCATTGGTGGTGATGGGACACAGGTGCATAACTCTGATGTTGACAGTGATGCTGGTGGTGGCTAACACTTAAGGAGTTCCTATTCCTTGCCAGGCGTGGTCCGAAACGCTGCCTTCATTGGCCTCCCAGCTCAGTAAGTTCTCGAAGTAACCCCATCTGGGATGAGAAAACCGAGGCCACACAGCTCACATCTAAGTAGTAGCAGAAGAGGAACTTGGTCCCTGCTCACAGACACTGTGGCACAGTGGATGTGACCATGTGTCCGTGTGCGCACGCATGCGGCCTGCAGTATCCCGGTGAACCCGAACACTTCCAAGCAAATCCTCGCTCATGGTGCTGCCCCCGCCATCACCCCCACCTGGTGTTCTCTTCCCCAAGTGTTGGTGCGGCTCCCTGCGGGTCTCCACTCGGGAGGCCTTCCCTAGCCTCCCTGCGGGAACAGCACACGGCCCTCCCGCAGTCCTCCCACCCTCCCGATCCCGACTGGAGTCCCTCTGCAGCACAGCAGACCCCCCTAAGCAGAATGAGGATGTACTTGATTCTTTGTTTTCGGCCTGTCTCCCCCGCCAAAACGTCAACTCAGAGAGGGCCAGGACTTCCCTTTTGTTCATTGCTGGATCCCTAGAGCCTAGAATAGCACCTGGCACATGGCAGGCGCTGAGTTCATAGTTGTTAAGTGAATGAATAGGCACGCAGGTGAAAGAACTGCATGGCTCAGTGCAAGGGGTGGCGGGCCGGTCAACTCAACCAGCGTCCCATTCGGTGGAGCAAAGCCGGCTCAGGTGGGACTGCCCCACACCAGGGCTCAGAGGTGGGCATGGGCACCCGAGCGTTCCCTCCCCTGGCCAGGACAAATCAGACTTGACCCCAGGACTTCTGCTAGAACCATGAGAAAGGTGCTTGCCCTGTATTTCACTGAGGTTAGAGCTGTGAGGGTGACCGTGGACTTGGAGCTGCAGGCTCCCCTTGTTGCCAAGTGGAAAGAGGAGCTGCCTGACATGGAACCCAACAGACCCACACAACGCAGAGAGAGAGGGAGAGAGCAAAGAGACAAAGCCCAGGGGACGGTACTTGGACCACTGGATCCAGCTGCACCTGAACCACACACCCCAGTTACAGGAGACCCCCAAAGTTCTCCTTTGGCATAAGCCAACTTGAGTTGGGTTTCTTTCATTTGCAAATGAAAGTGAATCATCTAACATACAGAAGGTGATTAGGTGTGAGAGTGGAAGTCTCTGAGAGAGGAAACGAACAGCAGTGTGGTCGTGTGTGGGGAGTCACATGCGACTGTAAGACGTCAGACAGTGTGCCTGAGCCAGGCAGGATGTGCTTGCGGGTATGAGCAAGTGAGATTGTGTGTGTAGCCCAAGGATGTGAAAGGAACCTTCTTCGTTCAAAGGACAAAACCAATCGGAAGCCAGAGTCTTTGGAGCCCAGTCCTGCCAACACAGAGCAGCAGCAGCAGCAGCAGCAGCAGCAGCAGCAGCATTAGCAGCATTCTCGGCCTCCTTGGCTGACAGCTGCGCCTCAAGAGGGGAAGGCCACTGGGAGAAGTGGGGGGAGGAGAAGGCGGAGGGAGGAAGGGAGAGAGGGAGGAGGAGGGGTTGATTTCTAATCAGCCAGTGAGAGCTGTTTGCAAAACATCACAGGAGCCCTGGCCAGGTAGCTCGGTTGGTTAGAGCATCGTCATGATATACCAAGGTTGTGGGTTCGATCCCCAGTCAGCACAAATAAGAATCAACCAATGAATGCATAAATAAGTGGAACAACAAATCAATGTTTCTCTTTCTCTCTCTAAAATAAATAAGTAATTTAAAAAAAAATTATAGGAACTTGCAGGAGTCAGAAAGGGACTCCAGTCACCAAGGCTCATGGCCCCAAGGATTCAGGGAACAAAGTTCATACAGTTCCTCCCAGAGTCAGAGGATCTAATGGGAAAGAGAGAGAATCTAAAAATCCAATATTCAGACCATCGACACAAAATTGCAGGAAAGAAGCACTATGGGACTCGACTAAAGAGACACAGGAGACGGCGTGAGAGTGCCCAGTCCCGCGCTCAGTGTCTCGGGACTGGCTGTCCAGGGTCCGGCGTGCCAGCAGCTAGTTCTTGGCGAACCGGCGTTGGCTCTCAGGGTCCCCCGTGTTCTTGTCTTGAAGCGCGCACAATCCCGTGTTGAATCTTCCAGTCTAGATTTTTAGCCCCAGGCGGCCATAGAGCTTCTCCGTGGTTTTGGAATCTTCCAGACTTTGGCAGATCACCTGCTTGCTCTCCCTGGACACAGCCTTTTCTGTGACATTGGCTGTGACGTCAGTGAGTTGTGTCCCCGGTCCTGAGGGAACCCGTCGGTGCTAAAGCCCTGAACTCTATATGAGAGAGAGGACACACTCTAGCAGCGAAAATCCTGCTGCTTCTCTTGTGCGCAGGGAGGCCGGGGGCACTTGCCTTAACCTCCCCGAGGCTGTCTCGCATCTATACATACGAGGATAAGAACGCGGCCACAGCAGAGCCCCTGAGAGGGACAGACAAGATCTCGCGTGCAAAGGGCCAAAGGCGATGCTCAGTGAGTGACGGGCATTAATATCACTTCCCTTTCCCTGCCTGAGTGGGGTCCTGTCACTCACAATTATGAGACTCCTAACTAGGACTCTGAAGGGCTGACCCGGGCAGAGGACACAGTGTGTGAACATGAGAGTGTGTGAGTTATGTGGAAGTGTGCAAGGGGGTACTGCGTGTGTGTGAGGTGTGTGTGGTGTAAATAGTGTGTGTGCGGCACGTGGGTTGTGCATTGCAGTGTGGCTGTGCGAGGTGTGGAGTTGGGAGTACGGGTGTGTGAGGTGTGAGTTGTGTACATGTACAGTGTGTGGAAGGGGTGGGTGTTCGAGTGTGGGTTGTGTGCAGGAGTGTGTGTGTGCACAGCCGTGGAAGCTAGATTTATGGGGTTGGCTCTTTGGGTCTGGAATGTCCCTGACGATGACCACCCCTAACACTGCCACCACTCACCACCTCCTTCCCTCCCTTAGGAGCCAGCCCCCTTCCTTCTCTAGTGCCCCCAGCGCCCCATTGGTGGTGGCCCCAGCCCCGCAGTTGTCCCCAGCTTGGAGGCCCTGGTCCTGACCAACAGCCCTAACCCACCAAACCGGAAAGAGGTGACTTCGCCCACGAAGTCCACGCGGGGCTGGCGACCTCTGGTGACCAGGCGCAGGGCCAGGAAGTCCCCGGTGGACGCCGCCGGGACAGGGATAGTCAGGCCGCAGACAGGAGCGCCCAAGGGTTGGGGCGCTCCTGGCGGACCCTCGTAGAACTGCAGGTAGGAGCCCGGGGCGCACGCATCTGCCGACGCTGGGGCGGAGGCGTTGGGCACAGGGGACTCCGGAGACGTCGGAGAGGCGGAGGTCAGGCTGTAGACCAGGAAGAAGCGGAACTGGAAGCGGATCCTGTCGCTAGGGGTCGCCGCCCGCACCCAGAGTCCGCAGTCGGTGTCCGGGGCCACGAAGTAGAACTTGCGGGACTGGGAGTGCGAGCGCAGCAGCAGCAGCCCGTCCCCGTGCCACGTCTGTCCGCAGAGGTCCACCAGGTCGGCTGCAGCGGAAAAGCACGGACCCTGAAGCCACGCGCCTCGTTCCAAGCCTGGCTCTGTCTCCTGCTGACTGCGTGACCCAGGGTAAGGGCCTCCTCCTCTCTGAGCCTCAGTTTCCATATCGGTAAAACGGGGATGAGCAAGCAATCTCTGAATGTTTGTGAGGATTGAATGACTTAATTCACACCCTCCATCTCTTATTCAAAAACCCTAGAAGGTGTTTCAGAACGTTCCAGATTTCACAAAGATAATATGATGTGTATACAGGGTGAGGCAGAAGTAGGTTTGCAGTTGTGAGTACAGCAAACAGTTCACTCTTGTATGGTTATTTTTTCCAAATATATATTTCCCATTTATTTTTTTGTTTTTGTAAACATTTTTTAAAATATTTTATTCATTTTTAGAGAGAGGAGGAGGATAAAGAGAGGGAGTGAAACATCAGTGTGTGGTTGCCTCTGCAGCACCCCCTACTGGGGACCTGGCTCGCAACCTAGGCGTGAGCCCTGACTGGGAATCAAACTGGAGACCCTTTGGTTTGCAGCCTGCACTCAATCCACTGAGCCACACCAGCCAGGGCCTGTTATTTATTAACTATTGTATTAATTTCCACACGAGCCACTGCGACCCTGTTAATGCTTCTGCCGCACCCTGTACTGTGTGTCGTGCTGCAGCCCTCCACGGTCACATTTTCAGAGCTGTAAGAACATTTGTCCTAAGCAGGACAAATAAAGAAAAATAAAGCCTCCTGTCAGTTCCGGTTGGGTGTCGCCAGTAAATTAGCTAAGAACAAATTTTGGTTTTCACAGCTTTTTGTGTTTGGGGATTCTGGACAAGGACGTGCTCAGTGAGTAAGGCATTTAATGAGTGTTCCAGCCGTGTCAGCTGTTACTGTCGTCCTACTTACGGGTGGGGCAGACAGAGCTGGGCACATGCCCCCCCAGCAGCCTTTCCCTCTCCTTGCCAAAAGAACCCTGATGTAGCCCTGGCTGGTGTGGCTCCGTGGATTGAGTGCCAGCCTGCAGGTCACCGGTTCAATTCCCAGTCAGGGCACATGCCTGGGTTGTAGTCTGGGTCCCAAGTTGGGGGCGCAGGAGAGGCAGCCACACATTGTTGTTTCTCTCCCTCTCTTCCCCTCTCTCTAAAAAACAAATAAATAAAATCTTTTTTAAAAAATCATTTAAAAAAAAAAAAAAGCAAAACCCTGACTTAGCCTCAGCTGTCAGGGAGCAACATGCCCGTGTGGGGGACGAGGCGTAGCACGTGAACTGAGCACCTTCCGCGTGCCAGGTTGCGTGGGAGTCTTGCACGGCTCATCTCATCATCGTACATGCACAGTAAATTCTCCTAAGGGGCAAGGGCCTGCTAGGATTCCATTTTACTGCTGCAGAAACGGAGACCTAGCGAGTTGAAAGAATGATCCCAACGGTAGCCATGCAGGAAGAGGCGGAGTGAGTGGTGAACACAGAGCTTCCGCCGCCAGATCTGAGGGCTCTCCCACCCATGCCCAGACCCCTGCTTCTGGGTGACTTTGAGCTCTAGTCTTCCAGAGGGGTTTGGGTAGACTTGGGGGTGCCAGGCAAGACCGGGCACAGGGGTTCCCAGCCTCCCCCAACTCAAGAGGCCCCAGCCCGTCAGGGTGAGTGCTGGCTGGGGAAACAGCCTCTAAGGGTGGTGGGGTCTGAATCTCCTGCCCACCCCAGCCAAGTCCCTGTACACTCACCTGTCTCCAGAGCAGACGCAGTCAGGGCGGCTGCCCCCAGCAGGAGCAGCCTCTGGGGCAGCTGCAGAAGACGGGCCTCCATCCCGTCCACAGGCCTTGCTGTGTCCAGCGACGGGGCAGACCTGCAGAGCCTTCAGTTTGGGGTCTTCGGGGAAACCGGGGTATGGGGGCCTGGCCAGGCCAGTGGGGAGGCCAGCAGGAGACGAGGCGCAAGGAGCGGCAAGTCCACCGGCTCCTCTGGTCTCTTCTTCACTGTGATCTTTGTGCTCCTAGTTCCAGATCCTCCTTCAGATCAGGATTGTGTCTGAAGTTGTCATGGAGATTTGGGGCTGGGGCCAGAGCGGGGAGTGGGGAGAAGGCGGGGAGGACGTCTGCTCACCCCCTGGCAGACAGGAACCAGGACACTCAGATCCTGTTTAGCCACAGGGCTTCTGGGAAGGGGACCCACAGCCCCCTCCTTCCCCGCAATGTTGCTGCCTTCCTGGATAAGTCGGCACCCTAGGGACGGAGAAGGCCCAGGACGCCGTAGGAACCTCTGGGAGGGCCTGGGGAGGCAGCGAGGGGTGAAGGAGCACCAGCCCAGGAGTCAGCCGCGGCACTCACTCATGGTTCCCTCCACCCGGGGCACTTTTGTCCCGTAGGGTGCCAAGTCTGGCTTCTTCAGGTCATTCAGGCCTCAGGCTGAGTGTCCCCTCCTCAGACCACACTTCCCTGAGCACCTCTCACTCTGAATTAGCACCCTCCTTCCTTGTCACCCAATCACATCTCCCCAGAGGCCCTCTATCAGCACTCACTGGGACATTTGCTTATTCAGATCTTGCACATACGGTCTGTGGGCCCCCACTAAAGTTGCACTCCATGACTACCTTGTTGATCTCTGAACCCTGAGGTCATGGCACATGCGGTGTCCGGCATAGGGACGGAGCCCAGGAGTTACAGATGAATGTGCAGCACTGAGCAGGTGGCCCCCCTTTTTCAGGGTGTCACTTCCCTGTGTGTAAAGGGAAGGGCTTGAATCATTTCAGGCTTTTTCAAAACTTATTCATAGAAAAATTTTTGTTCAAAAGGTTTCTTACATGGAATCTTAATATACAAAACTGAAACTTTTCACGTCTCAGTTTCCTCATCTGAAAAATGGGATAATGATGGCTCCAACTTCACAGGCATGTTGTAGGGGTGAAGTGACCTGCTACAGGCTGGGCACATACAATAGTGTCTGTCACATTGTAAAATGCCCGTGCGTGTTCGGCTGGATGATGAGTCTTTTTTTTCTTTTTAGATTTTATTTATTTATCTTTAGAGGGGGGGAAGGGAGGGAGAAAGACAGGGAGAGAAACATCGATGAGTGAGAGATACATTGACAGGTCGCCTCTCACACGCCTGCAACCGGGGACCTGGCCCACAACTAAGGCATGTACCCTGACTGGGAATTGAACCAGCAACTTTTCGGTTCACAAGCGAGCACTCAATCCACTGAGCCACACCAGCCAGGGCTGGATGATGACTCTTAAGGTCATCATTATGATTTAAACAGAGGTGCTCCATGTTTCAACAAACCCCAGCAGAGGCCTTTGCAACACCACCTCCAAGTGCCGGGACTCCACAGGGAGGTGAAAATCAGCGGTCCCGTCCGACGCTCTCCCTTCTAGCACTGACATCCGAGGCGACCTTGACCCCCTACTGTGTATGATGCCCGAGGCTAGGCCTTAGGGGACTCAAGGGTACTCAACTCTGCCTTCCGCAGGAATGGATTTCCCATGAAGCTCGTAATGCTTAAGCTTTAGACACATTATTTGCATGGGATTGTTTAATTATATAAAATTTGCAAAAGTGCGATATTTTAACCACGGTTGATTCAGACCACTGTCTCTTTCCACTGAATCTCTCCATCACACCGCTCTCCAGGTCAGATGGCCGCAGGCCTTTATGGGATCTGACTGAAGGGACGTTGGCCTGGGTTTAGGTCTGGGGGGTATATGTGCTCACAGGGCCCTATCTCCTTGCATGTGTGGTCTTATCATTTCTAGGTGCCCCCGAATGGTGTCCCTCCCAGGAACACGGCTAATGCCCACTGCGCTGTCCTCCCCAGGGTTGTGATGTGAAGGTGCAGGACAGAGACCAGTATTTTGCCAGGCCCCGTGGTACGAGGGTATTGGAGGAGAAATAGGTTTGAAATGTATGAAGCCAGAGCTAGTCGATGGAAAAACCCTCCCAAATCTTACGGCTCATACATGAAAGAAATGGGATAGAGGTTATCCCAAGTTTGACGACAACCCTTAAGAGTATAAATAACCTTACCAGTAATGAATTGCAAAGGTGAAGGAAAAAATAAAAACGATCACTAATAAAAAACAGTAATTTTGACTGATCATGCTGGAGGAAAGACTGAATTATTTTTTTAGTCCTGCTTTAGAAAATGCCGTACCGCTATTGTTGCATAAGAGAGAAAAGAGCGTGCAGCTAAAAAACTAAGTAAAGAGTATTACAGAGGAGTGCCAGGCAGTTGATTAGTAACAGTTTATTATTACTTTGTATTTGTATTGTTTGTGGTATTTTTCAGGTAAAGTTGTGATTTTTTTCATTCTAAATAAATACTCACTTTCAGGCTTGGCTTTGTGTTTATAATTTCATATTTTTCAAGAGGGCCCTCAGCCTTGGCTGGTGTGGCTCAGTGGATTGAGTACCAGCCATTGCAAACCAAAGGGTTGCAGGTTCGATTCCCAGTCAGGGCACATGTCAAGATTGCAGGCCAGGTCCCCAGTAGAGGGCGCGTGTGAGACAACCACACATTGATGTTTCTCTTCCTCTCTTTCTCCCTTCCCCTCTCTACAAATAAATAAATAAAAATTTAAAAGTAAATAAATAAAGAGGGCCCTCAAATTGTCCATACTTCATGTCCCACAACACCTGCCCTCAGGGAGCTCACAGCCTGGTAGGGGCTTCATGTTAAACAAATGATAATCATTACAATTTAAAAAATGAACAGAAAAAAAAGAGAACAGAAAACCAATTATTAAGTAAATTGCCATCTTAACTGTAATAGGAACTTGAGGTCCTTGGGGGAGTCAGGAAGGGCTTCCCACAGGAGGGCGTCTCTGAGCGGGGCCCTGAAGGACGCGTAGGAGCTTCTGTGCAGAAACGACACCACATGCCTTCCAAGCAGAGTGCCCGGGACATGCCGCAGTCACAGGGAAACCGCTTCTGGGAGCAGGCTGGCGCAGCTAAGACGTGCTACAGCACAGGGAAGTGGATGTGAATGGTGACCGCATCAGCAGTAACTTCCCAGCCCCTTGACTGGGCTCTGTGCCTGAAATACCCACCACCCCCCTTTCCCGAACCAGGGACAAACTCTTCATAGAAACTTTCATGTTTCTAGTGACCATTTCTTAAGTGTTTACAACACTCCAGGCACTGGTGCAAGCTTGTTACGCACTTACCACACTTAAGCTTCACAGTGACCTACAAAGAAGGCACTCTTTTTTCTTAGATTTTGTTTATTTATTTTTACAGGGAGGGGGGAGGAAGGGAGAAAGGGAGGGAGAGAAACATCGATGTGCGAGAGGAAACCTTGATACGTTGCCTCTTGCACACGCCCACTGGGGACCAGGCCCGGCAACCCAGGCCTGTGCCCTGACAAGGAATCCAGCTGGTGACATTTGCTTTGTGAGATAATGCTCAACCAACAAGGCCATGCTGGTCAGGGTCAAAAGGACACTCCTATGAGCTTCATCAAAATGATGAGACATCTGAGTGCGAGTAATGATAATACATGAGTCTAGTAAGGTGAGGGAAGAATGACATTCCCCCAGGTTTCATTTCCTAGCTGTGTGGGGCAAGTGACTTAACTTCTCTGTACCTCAATCTTCTCATCTATAAGGTAGAGGCAATACTAAAGTATCTTATTGGGTTATTGGGAAGATTAAGTTAAAAGAAGGACGTAAATTCATTTTTCAAATATTGCTAGCCTCTGTCTAGGCACTGGAGATATTTTGGGGAACAAAGTAAACAAAACTCTATCCTTGTGGAACTGACGTTCTAGCGTAGAATAAATGAGTGAAATGTATGGTGTACTGAATAGTGATAAATATTAAGAAGAAAATACATAAAGCAATGCTGGGAGATATGAAATGTCAGAGAGACTGTTGAAATTTTGATAAGATAGCCAAGTGGTTAGGGGGTGTCAAGGAAGAGGGTCTTTTGAGTAAAGATATTAAGGAAGGAAGTGAAGGAGTCAGCCATGCAGTTATTTGAAGGAAGAGCATGTTGGGCAGAGGAAACAGCAAGTGCAAAGGCCCTGAGGCAGGAGTATGCCTGGCACAGGCAACGCCAGTGTGGAGTGCATGCAGCAACGCAGAGACTGCTGGAGGAGTCAGATCACATGGGGCCCTGGAGGTCAGAGTGAGGACTTTGGCTTTTTCTCTGAGATGAGAACCACCGGACAAGGCCAGATGCCTCAGGACCAGATAGAAGACTATTAACAAGTCTAGAAATGATAGTGGCCTGGACCAGGACAGCAAGAGGTGGTCAGATTCTGGACATATTTTGAAGGCACAGCCAGTAGGATTTGCTGGCAGGTTAAACTCGGGGTGTGAAAGAAAGAGGAAAGTCAAGGATGGTGCCCTGTGTTTCGCCGGAGCGTCTGGGAGGATGTTATTGCCGTGACTGGGATGGGGAGACTCTTGGGTAGGAGCAGGGTTGGGGGGTAATAAAGCGCTCAGTTTGGGACACGTTCAGATCGAGATGCCTCTTAACGTTCCAGGGGAGAAGACAAGTAGTGGTGGGTCTCCATGTCTTGAGTAGGCCGGGGGGGTGGGGGGCGCGGGAGTGTGGAATGGAGATATGATTTGCATGTGCTGGAAGTACTCAGTTTACATGGGTGGAAAGTAAAGCCACAAGATGGGGCGATACTGCCCTGCGAGTGAGCACAGAGAGAGAAGAGGAGAGGACTAGGGGCTTGGGCGGTGCCCCAACCCTGACCCTGGAGAAATCAATCAGCTAGTACCCAAGGTTCTGGAGGGGAAAACGTCCACTAGGGGGCAGTCAAAGCCAGTAATACAAGGATGAGGAACCCTGCCCAGCATC